GAATATAAATTTGTGCGATTTATTTAGAATGCAGGGGCGTGGGCGTGGGCGGCCAGCGAGGCCAGGGAGGTATAGCAGAACAAATTGTCTGTGTGCTGTGGTGGGCGGTAGACTTATAAATGAAGCTTGATGAAATTCGCTGGAAAATTCTGGTAAACAAGATCACAAAAGTAATTCTTAAACGTATCGCAGCGGGAGAATTTAATTATGTATTTCATTTATTTTTATTACCGCTTGCTAATGGTGCACTTGCTGGACGGGGCACCGAGTTGAATCAATTAAATGTTGACGCTATATATATAGTTAAGTCCGCTTGCCTTCAATTATCCATAATAGTCCTCCTCCTCTAGCTTTGCATATACATATGTACCTAGGCGCATGCAGATTAGATAACTAATGCCATATATTGACATATGTTGATTTGTATATCGTCGGGGACATACACTTTGTGCTTGTCTTGGAAGGTCAATTGAAAAACTCGACGCATCGCAGCAGCACAACGGGACTTTCCAATTGACGTACGGGGAATTTTAAATTCAAATTTAATCTGAGCTCAGCATTTGGGGGCAGGTGAGCAGCGCAGCCAATTATTGCCCTTTATTACTGTTGTTATGTATAATAAAACGAAATGGAAAGCTTACACTGGCAACTTGCTAATCAGCCATAAATTTGTTCCAGAAATTTCATTCTATTTAGAGCTGAGCGACAAAAAAAATCATTGAAAATTTGAAAATTTGAATTGCCCGCCAAATGGCAGTACTGATTGTAACTACCGCAAGCTGGCAACGCCAAATGTGATAGCGCCACCTGTCGGAGTTTCTGTGCGACTAGATTGGCAGATGCTATCGATTGTTTAACTGCAATGTGGTCACACATGTCTAGTGTCAAAACCTAAAGAGCGGGTCACACTGAATTTTTGCCTCGAAACAAATGACACGTCAAGTGAATTGGATATTGGGAGGCAAACAGTGAAATAAATCGACAATAAATTATACAATTAAATATCAAAATCAATATATAAATCGTGGACAGCGTTGCTGCTTAGTTTGGTGCAAAGATGACCCAAGTACCGTGTTACACGATCATCAACTCGCCGGACCTCGAGGTGCCGAACGAGATGCAGCTGAAGCAAGAGCTCGAAAAAGGCGACACGAATGTAAAAATTGAGACGCTGAAGAAGGTGATCAAGCTGATGCTAAATGGCGAACGCTATCCAGGCCTCATCATGACAATTATACGTTTCGTGCTGCCCGTGCAGAATCATATGATTAAGAAGCTGTTGCTCATTTTCTGGGAGATCGTGCCCAAGACCTCCGCCGATGGCAAGTTGCTGCAGGAGATGATTCTCGTTTGCGATGCCTATCGCAAGGTAAGTTCAACACTGCCCTAGCCTTTACTTTCAACTGACCGTTGCGGCTTTCATCCTCCCCTTTAGGACTTGCAACATCCAAATGAGTTTTTACGTGGCTCCACGTTGCGTTTTTTGTGCAAGCTGAAGGAGCCGGAGCTGCTAGAGCCTTTAATGCCGGCCATACGCGCCTGTCTGGATCATCGCCACTCGTATGTGCGCCGCAACGCAGTACTGGCTATTTTCACCATATACAAAAACTTTGACTGGCTGGTGCCAGACGGTCCGGAGCTGATTGCCAGCTTCCTAGATACACAGCAAGACATGTCTTGCAAGCGCAACGCCTTCCTTATGCTGCTGCATGCCGATCAGGAGCGCGCCCTCAACTTCTTGGCCTCCTGCATTGATCAGGTGCAGAGCTTTGGTGACATTCTACAGCTGGTCATTGTGGAGCTCATTTACAAAGTGTGCCACGCTAATCCCGCAGAGCGATCACGCTTCATACGCTGTATCTACAATCTGCTTAACTCATCATCGAATGCGGTGCGCTACGAATCAGCTGGCACACTGATCACACTCTCGCTAGCACCCACTGCCATTAAGGCTGCCGCCGGCTGCTACATCGAATTGATCGTCAAGGAGAGCGATAATAATGTGAAGCTCATTGTGCTGGACCGTCTGATTGCCATGAAGGAGAACGAGAACATGGAGAAGGTCATGCAGGATTTGGTCATGGACGTACTGCGCGTGCTCGCCGCCCCGGATATTGAGGTGCGCCGCAAGACTCTGGCCCTAGCCATGGACTTGGTCTATTCGCGTAATATCAACGAAATGATTCAAGTGCTGCAAAAGGAGGTGGCCAAGACGCACAACGTTGAGCACGAGGATACGGGCAAGTATCGCCAGCTGCTGGTTCGCACCTTGCACACTTGCTCCATCAAGTTCCCGGACGTAGCCAGCAGTGTGATACCGGTTCTGGTGGAGTTCCTCTCCGACACGAACGAGCTGGCCGCTGTAGATGTGCTGATCTTTATACGCGAAGCAATACAGAAGTTCCCGGCGTTGCGCGGACTTATTATCAAGCATCTGATTGAAGCTTTCCCACAAATCAAATCATCAAAAATCCACCGTGCCGCCGTCTGGATTTTGGGAGAGTATGTGGAGGGTGAACAAATTCCCGAGGTTATTGCCGCCATACAGCAGACTCTCGGCGAAATACCCATGGTCGATGCCGAGCAACGTCGTCTCACCGGCGATCAGACCGAGGAGCAGCTACAGCAACAGCAACAACAACAGGGCACATCCGGTGGTCACGAACCCACAACGAATAGCAGCAACAAGGTCACATCCGACGGCACCTATGCCACACAGAGCGCCTACAGCCTGGCCCCGTAAGTAACCAAACGAAGGCATTATTAAATATCCAACAGCTCTATTACCGTTCCATTTGTCTTCAGCGTAACCAAGAAGGAGAAGCGACCACCGCTACGCCAATATTTAATGGATGGCGATTTCTTCTTTGGTGCCGCCCTCTCTGCCACGTTGACCAAGTTGGCGTTGCGTTATGTGGAGCTGGTGACGGATGCCCGCATGGTGAACCGTCTCACCACGCAGGTTATGCTCATTATGAGCTCCATATTGCATTTGGGCAAGTCTGGTTTTCCCACCAAGCCGATTACTTATGATGATTCGGATCGCATCATGATCTGTCTGCGCACGCTGAGCGAGCGTACACCGGAAGCTGTGGGCGTCTTTATGCACGATTGCCGCGACGCACTCAGCAAGATGCTGGATGCCCAATCGGAGGAGGATCAGCGCATGCTGAAGGAGAAACAGCGTGCCACGGCCAAAGTTCAGCCGGATTCGCCGGTGCTGTTTGCCCAGCTTTCAAACGGACGCGACAATCAGCTGGGTGAGAACGTATTTGAGTCCAGCTTGAATCAGGCATTGGCTGGCACTAAGACAGCCCAGGTCAACGACATGTCCTCGCCCAACAACAAGCTTAACAAGGTCACCCAGCTAACAGGCTTCTCCGATCCGGTCTATGCCGAGGCCTACGTCAATGTCAACCAATACGACATTGTCTTGGACGTCTTGATTGTGAACCAGACAAGTGAGTAGATGGAGATCAGTTGCAATCTTTATAAATCGTGGTTCTATAATCTGCCAATCCTTTAGATGATACACTGCAAAATTGCACATTGGAGCTGGCTACATTGGGCGATCTTAAGCTAGTGGAACGTCCGCATCCGGTGGTGCTGGCGCCGCACGATTTCTGCAACATCAAGGCCAACGTGAAGGTCTCCTCCACAGAGAACGGCATCATCTTTGGCAACATAGGTAAGTGATGCGATGATTCATTGATTATCTTGATTGCTGATTACTGGTTCCACAATGCGCAGTATACGACACGGCGCTGAACACAAACGTCGTGGTACTCAATACCATACACATTGATATCATGGATTACATCATACCGGCCAGCTGCACGGATACCGAGTTCCGTCAGATGTGGCAGGACTTTGAGTGGGAGAACAAGGTAACCGTCAACACCAGCTTCACTGATCTGCACGAGTACCTCAAGCACCTGTTGAAGAGCACCAACATGAAGTGCCTCACGCCCGAGAAGGCACTCTCCGGCCAATGCGGTTTCATGGCCGCCAACATGTATGCCAAGTACGAACGCAATGTCTTTTACTCGTTTGCCTTTGGCTTAACGACTTCTGTTTGCAGGTCTATCTTTGGAGAGAATGCCCTTGCCAATCTGAGCATTGAGAAGCCTGTCGATGATCCCGACTCGAAAGTAACTGGTCATATACGTATTCGCGCCAAGAGCCAGGTGGGTGTAGCTTCCTTAGCATCTTCTGCGCTACTTACTTATTTATTGATCATTTTCCACAGGGCATGGCACTTAGCCTGGGCGATAAGATTAGCTCCTCACAGAAGCAATCCGTGCAGGCCGCCTAGTTAATCAGCAGTAAAAGCAACAGGAGCCAGCACAAGAAATTAAAGCTTATTTAAGAGGTGGCCGAGCCACGGCCTGCATTCCGCCTGATTTTAAATAAAAGCAGACCACAACAGCCTATTACATACATATTATAATTATGCATGAAAATATATACTTATTTAATAAAGTTAACCGCCCCAAATTCAAGTTATACAATTTATTCGCAACAGTTTATTCTCATTGTGCGACAGAGACAGGCTATACATGGAATCGCGGTGCGCTGTACGCTAGAGCGAGAGGGAACATCATGTGATGCCTTCAAAAGTTGGTCGTTTATGTATAGTTAAACATACACCTATCATTATCATAAATTATTATCAGTTTTAAACATTGAAATGCTTTTCGTTTATTGTTTGACGAACAAATTTTATCTGAAATTATATTTCACAATTTTCCATTTTTATGAGTCATATCTACTATTCAAAAACAGAGCCTGGCTTAATAAGATAATTTTGAAGCTATAAAGGTCTTTGTGCTAATGATTTTTCCAAGTAATTGAACTTACCTTTAACATGTGTTATTAATTTACGAAAATAGCAGTAGGTCGTATTTTATTGAGATTTAAAATAAACAATTGCCACAGCTATATTGCGCGAGTCCAACTATCGATGTTATCGCACACATCGATATATAGATTTAACGATTACTGTTGATACATCGCTGTTTGACAGGTCCAGCGCTAGCCGCTGACGTGTTTCAAGCAATACAAAAACACGAACCCATTTACCCTCACACAACATAGTTCCATAAATTTATCAGGCAATGTGCGAAATCGTGATTTCGCCAACAAAATAGCATTACAATCATTTGGGTAAATATTCAAAATTGGTGTACGGTCTTCTGGTCTTCATATTTCAATAATCACACAATTGTTACTATTTTATATTTCAGACTCCGAATGAAAGTTGGCAACTACAAAATAACAACTATACCAACGGACACAGCCGCCAATAGTGGGGAGTAGCGGCCACGGCAACAATAAACGAAGTGGAAAGCCAGCCGCATTAAACTGTAGCCGTGGCCACATTCGACTGCAAACACGCATTAAACACACACACATTAAAATTTCCAATTCATATTGCCTAAGCCAGGGAGGACACAGGCAAAAAGATGGCGCTACTGACGATGATTGCCCGGGTCATAGATGGTCTGCCACTGGTTGGCACCATGCAGGACGATGAGCAGGTGCGTCACAGACACGCGCACATACACACAATACCGATGTGTGCGTACAGCTATGTAAAACTAACACTTTCACTTTTTGTGCAATAGAGCGGTCGCAGCATCTTGGATTATCAAAATCAAGCCAAAATGTTATTTCGCAAGCTGGGAACACACTCGCCAGCGCGGAGCAGCATCGAAACAGGACCATATTTATTTCAGTGAGTAGAGAATGTTAAAATATTTGCCAATATTGAATCATCGTTTAATCGCCTTGACTTGACTTGACTTCGTTTAGCTATCTTATCGAGAACGATGTTTGCTACTTGGTGATGGTTGATAAAATGTATTCGAAACGCTTGGCATTCAACTATCTGGAGGATCTGGCGCAGGAGTTTCACACCAACTATGGCCGGCGTGTCAATTCGGTGACACGCCCATACGCCTTCATCGAGTTCGATGTGTACATACAAAAGGCGAAAAAGCAATTGACAGACCGAAGACGAAACATAAGCAACATTAACACACAGCTACAGGACGTACAGCGCATCATGGTCCAAAACATTGATGATGTACTGCAACGTGGCACAGTTTTGGCGGGTACGTGACTACAAACACGTTTAACAGAAAGGGCGGCATCAACTGTAAATGAATGATATGTCTATCGCTTATTCCTTGCAGAGCTGGACACTAAAACGCAAAACCTGTCAATGATGTCGCAAAAGTATAAGAAGGATGCCAAATTATTAAATCGCAAATCGATGTACGTGCAGGCGGCCGCCGTGGGCACCTTATTTCTAGTGTTTATACTATATTTTTGGGTTTTGTAATATATGTACGTACGGTAGTTGCACTAGTTGTTAGTTGTCAATATGTAATTGGCTCGAAAGCGGCACGCTTTATCTTTCTCGTGTGACGTTGTATTCGTTGCTTTCAACACGTCATAGACATTGTGAGCAGCGGAGCAACTGCGGCACCAACTGTGCTGCTCATTTCAAAGGCCAAAAGACATTTCAATATTTAATATAGTAATTGTATAACAGCAGCAGCAGCAACAACAGCCTAGATAATAATAACCACTAAATTGGGGGCAGATTATTTTGACATGCTGCCCCGCTGCCCCGCTGCTTGCTTGAATTTACCTTGCGTTGTGGGTTTAAATTACATTTTATTTCCAAACATACACATGCGAACACGTTAAGCACACACACTCCCAAAGAGAGGCGAGAAGCAACTCCATAAAACGGCGATAAAACACGCAGTCCCCACTGACTACTGTTTATGACATTTGTTCATATCACATCTAATTGGCTTGCTTAACATCATGAATGGAATTATCTTGCAGTTATGGCAAAATTAGTCTTATTTGCTGTATTTATCTGTTTATGGAGCCGGCCACAGGCAAAGCTAAGTTTTGTAAATTATCGTAAGCCCAAGCAAATATGTGTATAAATAGTTTGTATATGATGCTAATCATCACTATGACTAATGATGGATATCAATAAAATACTATATTAGGCAATTTAAAACTAATTAATGAGCAATTAACTCAATCGAAATGAGTTTACAAACCAAGAGTGGAGCCTTTATAACTATTATTCCCCACTTCCATTCCCATTCCCGAGAGTAAAAGTCCAAGATTGCTTTTAATGAATAATTTTTCCTTTATATATATATATATTTCCTTTCATTTTGAGTGTTGATATATTCGCCTATTTCTTGCCATATCTGCGCTGACAAATGTTTATGCATGTATATTTATATATACTAGTTGAATGTCGCCCTTTTTGCGATTTTGCATATAAATTTTTAATATCAAATTTTTACAATTAGGAAAAAATGCGCTGTTGCCATTTACACAGTTATATAATGCTTGTATAATTTTCATTCGTTAAATATATATATATATATATATATATATATATATATATATATATATATATATATATATGTATATATATATATATATATATATGTGAGTGTGTGTGTGTATGTCGTATATATGTATGTGTATATACTATATATGATATTATAAGTTCTTTCGAACAGAACAAAAAACTGGAAACGATATTCGAAAGTGCTTTGACAAATACTTAGTAAAAATGGCCAATCGACAGGGAGCAGCTGGATTCGATTCGATGCTAATCCCGGGTGTATTGGGTGAATGCAGCTCTGAGTGCTATTTGGTGTTAACTTATTGTTTTACAGCTTTTACTTTGTTGCTTTACGTGTATAACTTACTAGGAAAAATTGGTTTTGCTATATAAATCTCAATATTTGTATACAATAAATGTTTGCTTTCATTTTCATCGAATTTTGTATCTCGTTTCTTTGGATGTTTCCTCTGTATAAATTACGAAAGAAACTTTCTATGTTGTATATCAATTGCAATTTCTATGTTCGCTTACATTTGTTAAATTTGTTGTTTTTTTTTTTTTTTGTTTTGTCACTAGAAGCTCTGGCTGTGTTCGGTTGGCTATTTTTTACCTTTACTTATATAATTATTTGTAGTTAATTTGATTTTTGTTTTGTTAACATTTGAATATAAAACCTACTTTGCTGTGAAATGAGCTGATTTTGTGGGGGGAACCACCCAAAAACACAATTTGCAACTTAGGAATTGTAAAATGATATTTAAAAAAAAAAAAAACAAAAAAACATGGATATGATATATAAATATTTAATACAAACACATCCCCTCGCGTCGTAACTAGACAACATTTATGTCTCAAGGGCTCTCTAGCAGCAATATTGATAATGTTTAGTCTCTATGCCATTGCAGGCAATCTATTTCTACGTTATCTAATTCCTCAATTACCTTTCGTTTATGTTAAAAAAAAAGTGTGAAAAAAACATGTTAATAAAAAAATTGTATCCTATGTCTGGACATGAAAAGCACTATACAAAATATGGTTATACAATTGTTAATTCTTCCACCCTATTGCTCTAGGGTAAACCCTAATGCTTATTGAAATTTCAGCTTTATTTTTGTTGTTCTTGTTGTTGTTGTTTTTGGCTTGTTTCAGTATCTTGGTTTTGTTCTCATCTTCTTCTTCATCTACATTCAAAAGGCAGTTTTTGAGCATGGAGGGACAAAGTGAGATTCATGACGAAGCATTAATTAGCAAGAATATCGGATACATATATATATATATATGTATATATAATACAAGACGAGTATACATAGGTGAGAGAGTAAAAGATTGAAAACGAATAGAACAAGAAGAAGGTGCTTGAAACGCGATTTGCACAAATTGCTGTACAAAAGAAAATCACAAAAGAAAATTCGTTGAAGAGACATACAGAATATATATATATATATATAGATATATATATATGCATGTATATATATAGTATATGCTTGTACCTAACGTGGGTACGACTTAGACTATTAAAAAAAAATGTTTACAATATACGCTTGTATGGGCTTTTAGAGTACGAGTACCGTTATTAGCTTAGCTTAGGAAAGAACGTTTTTGTTTAGTGTTGAGAAGCGCGCAAAGTACAGTTGCTGGCACGGACTCCGCGTTGCCTAGATACATATGAATACCTATTTATAGATGCATATGGTTGCGTGTATTATTTATGCGTTCTTGTACACGCCCTCGCCCCGCCCCCGGCTGTGGCTCACTTGATGCGCTGATGATCCGGCGTGCTCTTTAGTATATCTGGCTGATGCGGATGATGATGATGATGCTGGTGATGGCCGCCCGACTGCGAGTTGAGCGTGCCCTGGTGGCTGCCTCCACCGGTGCCGACACCACCAGCACCACCCGCGTGGTGCGAGCTGCTAAGCGTGTGCGAGTGCGTGGAGTTCAGCGTGTGGGTCGCATGCGAGTTGAGCGTGTTGTGGGCCGTTGTGGTTGCATTTGTAGAGAAGCCTGTAATGCTGCCAGCTGCGCCGACAGCAGTGAGACCCACAACACCACCAATGCCACCGCCAACACCGACGCCTGGCCGCTGCGAGGTGCGCAGCGAACGGTGCGATCCGTTGCGGGTGAGCGAATTCATTTGCGGTGTGCCTGGCACTGTGTGCCCCAGCGCATTCATGTAGTCCGCAATGAGCAGCGTAATCTCCAAGATCTTCGGCTTGCTCATGGCAAAGAGCAGCTTCTGCTCGCAGCCGCCGGCCAGGGTGCCGTCGTCGTGCGAAACGACTAGCATAAAGTCATCCTGGCAGCCACCAAAGGTCATCACCGTGCTGTAGGGATAACGCGCCACGGGCGCCATCGTCGACAGCTCGAGCACATTGAGCGCATCCTCGGCGACGGCCAGCCAGGCAACGGGCGTGCCGGTGGTTGCGTGTGGCTCGGACTGTCGCGGCTTGGCCTGGAACAGGCAGGCCCCGAAGTAGGGCCATTTGCGACAGCAGGTCAAATAGATGCGCACGCAGTCCAGCGTCGAGCGACCCTTGAGCAGCGTCCACTTGGATATGAGCAGCTCCTGCACATCCTTGAGCTGATCGGCGCCAAGTGCGTCCCGATAGCGATACGGATAGAACTTGTCCAGCGCCTTGAGGCCCACGTCGCGCGACTTCTCGTGCGTGTAGTCGCCCATGTCGATCTGCGACATCAGCGAGGCCAGCTCCAGCGCCAACTCTCGAGAGAGCGGGAAGCGGCCCTGCACGATCTGTGCATTGGTTTGGTAGCACAGCAGCAGCCGCTCCTTGTCCGTCTCGCACTTTATGGTGTGCTTCCAGTAGAGCCGGTTCTTGTAGCTCAGCTGGATGACGCGAGAGTTCTCGAACTTTCCTGAGCCCTTCTCACGCAGCGCCGTCTCCCACTTGCTGATCACATCGCACAGCTTGGCCAGCGGCTCCAGATAGTGCTCCAGATCCTTTTCAATGGGGTCATCGCTGAATAGACAGAAGCCATTGTTGGCATCGCGGGTGCCCAGCTCCTGGGCCAGAGTGGTTTGGAATTCCTCGATGGTGGTGGAGCCGTCAAAAGAAACCACCTGCAAAATGAATATAATAAATGAACCAGTTCAATCTTCAATTAAAACAGCTTGAGCTTACTCTCATATGAACTGTTTCTCTATTGTGTATCTATCACCTTTAAATTCATAAACATTGAAGCGCAATTTAAGGATATTTACGGCAAGTGAACTAGTAATTTGCTGAACAAGTTCATTGCAAATTGCTCCTTAAATCCTTAATTATTTAGAAAGTAATTGATTCTCTAAACTAAGCTTAGGATTTAGGAACAGACAGCTATCTGCCATAATTTATGAACTAGTTAATTAGTTTTCTAATGAACTGGTTCATGCAAATAGTTCCTCCGTCAAAATATAGTTAACTATTTGTTAGTTAGCCTAGCCAACTTAAGTTGTTTAAAAATACACAAATCGAATTCTTTCTTTTATTCCACAGAGTCATTGATCGAATAAGTGAACTAGTTCATTGTGCATGCCTACCTGATACGTGGTGTTCATCATGTGTACGGGTATGGCGTGCGGCAGGGAGTGATGATATGGGTTCTTCAGCAATATGGATAGGACCTCCATGCGCGATGGCTTAGTCTCGCGTCCTCCATTCTTCAGGGTCCGTTCCAGTGCCCGCTCACAGTAGGCCGCGTATTTGCCCGTTTCCGTTTTGGTGTCCGCATTGCGGGACAAGTGCAGCTTGAGATACCACAGCAGGCGACTGGACTTGGGCACAAACAAGGAGACGGCCAAGGCGAGCAGCTGCCAGCCCTGAACAAAGCTGTAGGCGGGCGGATTTGACTTGCAGTCGATGATGGGCGTCGAAACAGGCGCCTATACGTTCCAGTATGAGCAGAGAAACAGAGAAAAAGAGCAGATGGAGATTCAGTTGATGAGATGGTAAAAGGATCATACAGATTTCTGGGTTAGGCAACTCTACAATCGACTACAGTAACTGAAAGCAATCGTTTAACAAATCGTATATCGCATATTTATCGTATATCGATTATTGAATGACAAGACAAATTTCCCCTCATACCTGTATCGATGTGGGCGAACTGCCGTTGGCCTGAGCCTGGCCAGCCTGTTGGGTATCACAGGTGAACAGGCTTTGGGTGGCGCACAATAGTAGTTGCTGTAAATTTCGTCGTCGTTGTCGTCAATAATTGGTTACGTACAGTGTTGGAAAACGGTTGGTATTTACGGTAATTGCGGTTTACGGTTATCGGTTATCGGTAATGGATTCGTTGGTTCGATACACATACAAACGAAACGCAAATCGTTTCCAAACAAAAAACAAATGAAACATAATAGAAGAATAGAAGAGAAGCCAAAAAACATTTGCTGATCAATTTTTTGCTATTAAACTAGGTTTAAGTTTCTTTCGTCATGTATTGTTTTTTATTATTATTTTTTTGCAGAGTATCCTTAATGTATATGTATGACACGCTATACAAAAATCGTTCTCTTTTTTTGTTTTTTTTTTTTTTTGTAATTTGTAATAAGCGTAACGGGCAACGGAAATGAATAAACTCTATGCGAAACATTCAAAGCCATTGGAAAAATAATAAAAGCAGTAAACTGAACAAATTGAACAAAGGAGCAGAACAGAAACGAGTTAGAAAACGCTTTAGATCAACAATGACAGATACAAGTGCGAAGCACGTGATTCGATAAGAATCGATAGCACAGAATCGATGCGATTTTATCGGCAAAGTTGTTATCACGTATAAGCGAACTGCATTAGAGCCAGAGAGATTGCTTGAGTGTGTGCGAGAGATACGAGAGAGGGCGACAACGAGAGAGACAGGGCAGAAGCTAGAATAGTATGGAACTGTGCTTAAATGTGGACTTTAAGTTCTTGTTAATTTTGATGGAGTTTTATCCAATCAAAGTCTGGTAACTATAATAATTTAATTTATTTTATTTCTTCAACAATATAACTAGTAATTAGCAGCTCCATTTAGACAAACTATAAAATATATATCTGGTTGGGATATCTCAAATACTTTTACACAAAAAGTTATGTCTAAAAAATATGTTAAGAAGTTAACTATATTATACAGTTATAAAACAGCTATAAAACAATCGATAGTAATCGATCAACAATCATTGATTTATTCCATTAATGAATATTGTTTAAGATCAGGCACAAACTCAATTCAACGAGGGTCTCGTAGCTTCGGAGTACCAAAGACACAGTTTTCTAACTTGTTTTCTGGAAAAGAGTACGTATTCATGTATTTGTATGTTTGTATGTTTGTATGTTTGTATGTTTGTATGTTTGTATGTTTGTATGTTTGTATGTTTGTATGTTTGTATGTTTGTTGGCTTTCGAGCGAAGTGTTTTGTAAAGTATATTGTAGAGTATGTTAGAAATTTACAGCAAATACTTTATACAATGATAACGAATCAACAATAATTAGATCAAACTATACACATGGAAATAATTTTCATTGTTTTCTTGCTTGTGTTTTTGTTTTGCCTTGAAAGCTAAATATATGTACTTGGGCATGTATGTGGATATGTGTACACATACATATAGTTGAGTATAGATATAGTATGACAGTTATGGGGGAAATTCATTGTCTGTTCAACTACTTGAAATACAAATGAAAACAATGCACAGAAAGAGAAGAATAATCGAACAACAATTCGGATCGATAAGGATTAATCAGAAGCATGCAGAAAACGAGATATGTAAGAGATAATGCTAAAATGTGTAAATGTTAATGTTAATGTAAATGTTAATGTTAATGTTAATGTTAATGTTAATGCTTATAGGCATGTAGGTTAAACGTATAGATTATTAGTTATTTCGATCGTAAGCTTTTGTATGTAAGCAAAGCTTTTTGTAGCTGGCCAAATGTCGCTGATCGTTGTACCAAAGCAATGAATTTTCGATAAGCAATTAAAAACAAAGCAGTAGAATACAAAAGTTGGGTAGTATTTCACATACGATACCTAGTTGTTTTTGGTTAGGTAACGCTTTAAAGAGGGCAGCTTTTCGAAGCCTTTTCTTAAGTAGAATGAAGTTATAACATGATTAGGGATATACGTGAGCTAAATTCTGTGTGGCCGTTAAGATGTCGGGAAACATTACGAATCGAGAGCGCAGAGCTTTTATTCCGATACGGAAAAGGAATAGGAATTGTTCAGCCACGTGCTGGTCGTGTACACGACAAGTTAGTAATTGGATTAGTCAAGGTAATGTTAGGAAAATAATAAGGAAACTAGAATGTTAACACCTAATGGGGGGAGTACAACTAAAAGAGCTTTTTGAAGGATAAGAAGCTTTGCAACTGAAAAACTTACGCGCGTTTGCTTGCCCAGTTTCTTGTTTACCTGGACACCGACACTTAGTTTCTGGCCCATATGTCGGGAGGTTTGCTTTATCAAAATGCAGATCATTTCGGTCTGTAGCTCCGGCATATCCAGGCAATGTTGCAGCGCATTTTGGGCGAGCACCACATGATAATCGATGCCCGGCTGATTGACGGCCACAGACATAAACAGCTGAATGCTCTGTGGCGGGCAGAATACAGTTTATAATGGGGATCGAGTCAAGGTACTCCAATTGAGCTTACCTTGAATAGCTTTATAGCCTCCGGCTGCATGGTCTCCGTGTGCATGGAGGATAGGGGAGCTGTGATCGTATCTTTGGTGTGCAGCAATATGGGATGACGCCAGAGCACGCAGTCTACAGAGAAGCCAAAGGGGACTTTATGAAATACTTTATTTTTAGATGTTAGCGGCAAGTATAACTCACTTGGATCACCATCGGTTTCCATGAGCTTCTGCACCAGCTGCTCGTACTGTGTGCCCGCGCTGGGTCCGCCGCCCGAGACGACGGTCAGATGATATAGCCAATTGTCGCGCTCCGGCTTGCCGGACAGAATCAAATACGTGGGGCCCTGATGGGCCGGGTAGATAGCAACGGTAAGACGTGCCTGATCCTGGGCGGCATCTTCGCGCTCCTCCGAATCGGAGTCGGACACATGCTCGACTTCCTCCACGCGCGCGTCGCGCATATTTATTTGACCCAGAGGATTCTGTAGAGAATTCTCGTGCTTAGATTAGATCGCATTTGCAGCCTACGCACTTACCGTCTCAGCGGGTGCCTTGAAGTAAAGGAACATCTTGCCCAGCAGCACGCACCAGCACTTCTTGGCATGGCCGTTCTTCACCTTGGTCACCCAGCCCTGCACCGTGGGCTTCTGATCGTCCCGGCTGAGCAGCAGCTTTGTGGCATTGCGACGTTGCACGTTCTGCAGCACGCGTATCCAGTCGTCCATGGTGGCATGCGAGTCGGCGGTCAGATAGTAGACCTTCTTGCCCGTATCGATCTCAAACGTGGAGGCGCCCTCAGCCCGGCTAATGCGACAGGCCTCGTCCAGCTGGATCTGCCCCTGCGGCTTGCGCTGCACATCGTGCTGACTCTTCCAGTAGTTGAGGGTTCCGTTCTTCAGGACGAACCAACGCTTGCGCCAGGTCTTCAATTTGCCACCCAGCTTGGCCAGATGACCCATCTGAGAAGAAAGGGCTGACGTTTAGTATGACAGAAGATATAAGCAAGAGGGTCTGCTCACTTTCTCCAGCGATTCGAGCTTCTTGCTCGGCGAGTCCACGTAGGATTGACGCATCAATAGCGACGGCATCGAGGCGTCCATGCACGTCGATTCGGAGACAGCATCGGGGGGCAGGGCATAGTCGTCGGAGAGGCCTGATTCAAAGGAAAGATCTGAAATTACTGTGCCACGCATGTGAGGGCTCACGCGCAGTTGCGTCAGCTGCGCGCCAGTTGTGGGCGTATGTAGGCGTGGCAGCGTGCTCTGTATATTGTGCACGGGCGCCAATGCCGGCGCCTGTGGGTGTGGCAGCGTGTGATGATGCAGATATTGGTGTTGTTGCTGTTGCTGTTGCCGTTGCTGTTGCTGTGACTGGTGTTGTGTGGTTAAACGTGTGTGGACTGATGTGTGTGCATGTGTGTGCGTGTGCGTGTGCGTGTGCGTGTAGTTAATGGTGGGTGAATGGCAAATGATGGTGGTTAATAGTGGTCATTGATGATAACATAAGGAAGCACCACACAACGAAGTGGAGGAAGAGGCGCAGGGCGGAGATGCAACCAGTTCAAAGTTATTAAAATACCCATTGAAAATTAGTTGTGATAGTAGAGTATGTAAAGACCCAAGCATGGGATTAGATCAGATCAGATATCAAAGCAAATGCTCATGCTACAGGGTTGAGGACTACCGAAGAGGTTAGCCAAATGCAAAGTAATCAGACAAAATATCTAAAGAATGTGAAACTGGACGATGTTTTATAGCCATAAAAAATTATACAAATTAAAACAAAAAATATGAAAAATTCGAAATAATCATTTTAGAAACGAACTACACCAAAAGCTGTCGAAGCTTTCTTAAAAAATTATCACTAATTAAGAATATACTAAAATTATATACATTCGGCTAGAAATATATTCAATAAATTGTAAATTCTGCAAAAAAAATGAGTAAAATGCTAAGCACAAATTAAAAGTAGTTTCAAATTAAATAATAAATTCTCCAGGCAACTAAATAATGAAAGGAAATGGTAGAAATATAGAAAGGGTAGAGAACTAAAGTTTTCCTAGAGGAAAGTAGCATCAGAAGTAGAACAAGGAACTGGCTCATAAGGTGATCAATTATTTGTATTTTAGGATGGTTTTTGGATAGTGTTAGTGTGTGGAGTGGGTGTTGCTGTGGCTCTGTGGTTAGTGCTGTTGCTGTGGCTGTTGCAGTGGTTCAATGTTCAGATGCCGCTACCGCTACCTTTACGCTTTACTGGTTTTACTGGGCGCGTGCGAGGAGAGAAGAAGAAGTTGCTAAGGGTGGGGCTTGGACTGTACATACCGCGCGCCTTGGCATTTTTGGGGCTCTCGGAGCCGCTGCGCTTGGCAGGACTCAGGCTGGAGGAGGTCTTCAGGCTCTTCGAGGGACTCGATGCGCTGCCAGATGTGGAGGTCTCCGTGTTGTCCGTGCTGGATGAGTTGTGCGAGTTGTGTGTTAGCATGACGGCATGATCCTCGCCATCGCTGGAATCGTCGCTCGAATCACCCGTGAAGGGCATCGAACGTATTTGTGAGGCACGCCCCTTAACCGTGGCATAAACGGGCACGGATATATCACAGAAGCCGCCGCTGGCGGTTTGTTGCTGTCGCGTCGGTGGCTGGGGTGTGCCCGGTGTGCCGCTGCTGCCCAGCGTGCCATTCGCATCGTGGCCATGCCGCGTGGCTCCACGTCCGTTCGAGAGGGTCAGGCTGTGCTCCTGCACATCCGGCGTCGGCTCATTGCTGGCATTGCTCTCGGCGGTACTGGTGCCAGCGAGTCCATCGTTGGCCACCTGATAGATCTTCGCCTCCCAGCTGGGAAAGCGATGCAGCGGCGGTGTCGGCGGCCTGGGCACGCCCAATTCACTGGTCGTAGTCGTTGTAGTGCTGGAGTTGCCGCCGCTGGCCATCAGCGCCGGATTGTTCTTCATCCAGGCGGGTAGCTTCTCGCACGATGGCGTATAGATTTCGGCATAGTCGTGCGCCGTGTCCGTGTCGGAGCTGTCGGGTCGCGTGCTTGCCGTTGTCGACTGAGCCGCCTTGCTGGAGATGCTCGAAAGCGGCGCCAGGGTGAGCCCATCAACGGCCGCGACAAGATTGCGTTCCAGTTCCTGCGGCTCCATTGAGAGGTTGCGTCGATGCTGATGATGCGGATAGGAGCTGGTCAATGGTCGGCTTATGATCTCCTGTGGATCGAGGCTTTCGCTGCGTCGTCGCGTTTCCGGTGTGCTGGCAAAGTCCTGCACATCCAGGCTCAGGCTATTCCTTACCGGCCCGACTATGCTGTGTCGCTGCGATTGGTTGGCTATGTGATTCTTGAGCAACTCCAGTTGCTGGTTGCATTTGATGTTCTGCTCGCGCAGCAACTGATTTTGCTCCTCGAGATCGCGCAACTTATTGTTCACCCACTCCTTGATCTTGGCGGCCTTGGCCTCGATCTGGCGTGCGTCGTGCAGGCGCAACTGACGTTGCTCCTCGACCTGTATTTCCAATGAGTTAATTGTCTTCTCCGCCTCGTTGTTGGGCAGGCATACACCCACACCCACACCCACGCCAACACCTACGGCCACGCCTGTTGTGCCTGTGACGCTCTGCTGGCAGGCAGCGGCCAAAGCTGCTGCGGCAATTGCCTGTTGCTGCTGATGTATGGGCGAGCTATTTGCTGTGCCCTGCTGTTGTTGTTGCTGCTGCTGTTGCTGCTGCTGTTGCTGTTGTGCTTGGGGCTTTGGCCATTCACTGAGCCGCTGCTCCATAGCACGCACCTGCAAGTATCAAAAGTGAGAAGAAGCACGGTTAGAAATGGTTTGACTTTGATTTGCCTCACCCTCCCGCTCCAGGGAAAAACTTTTCCAGACAGCTCGCATGGCGCAAAGAGTCTTTAGAAAATTCAATTAAATTTGCACTAAGCTGCGGCTGTAAAACGAAACGTTCTATAGCCAGGACTAATGGTAACATATGACCTGTTCCCAACGATTTGCCGAGTAGTGCAAAAAACTTGGCTAAGAAGTTGGCAGCAGTTGCCTTAGCTGAGTCGGCTCAAGTTAATAGCAAATGGAAAAACTTGTATTCAACTGGGGATTGGTCCTTGCGTGGGATTCTTATGTGCAGGATTAGGAAAAGAATTCAAGGAAAATGTGAAAGAAAAATGTGTGCAAGGCAGTTAAAGTTTAGGTTTGTTAAGCTTAGTTCGATAATGGCTAAGAATATTAATCACGATTGGACTACAAGTAATTTAAAACAGACAGAACTCATATGGGTTAAGGAGGCATTCGAATCATAAAGTAAGCTCAGTCTCATGTTAAAGCCAAATTAATTCATTTGAAAACAGTTTGCTTCACAAAGATCTTCAGTGCAACTGAGGAATGATACCTCACGTGCAACTAGTTATAAATCATAAACTCATGCGCTTAAGGAGCTAGTCTAGTCGGTGGAGTTATGTGCGTATGCAGTTTGCTCGCGTTCGCAACAGTCAAGAGCCACAGGGCCAGAGGAGTGTCAAGCGCATTGCTAAATTATGAGGCGCAGTGGCGCAAAAACTTGTGTAATTAAACGCAACCATTTGGGGCAGACTTTGGCGTCCATTTAACACTTGGCTGTGCTGCAGTTGAGTCAGGCATGCGAGCATGGGCTTGGACTGGCTTTGCTCGAGAAGGGAGTTCTTTAAGTATATACATATGTTTCAGAGTACATAGTACTTTGCAAGTAATGCAACTGACAGTCAAATAGGTAAGGCAAGAAAAGGGCACAGAGAGACAGAGAGAGGCAGAGAGGGAGGAGTAAGAGCATCTGAGACAAAGGAAAAACAGGACATGTGGGATATAACTTCATTTCACACGTCGTCAAGTTGAGAGGTTGCCTTCGAGGCTGGTCACTGCAAAACCGAGCTGACAACAAAAGGAAGCCCGGAAGCATGGCTGTGCGACAAGTGACAAGTGGCAAGTGGCAACTGCCACTCTTCACCTATTGCATTATTAGTTGCCACTTCGGTTTGTGGCACTAAGAAAATGGGTCAATTGCCCAATGTTCAATGCTCGAGATGTGGAGGAGCAACTCCATTCAAGCTCAATCTCTATTAATGGTCATGTCATGCAAGCTCCACTTGCAACCGCATGATGCCAGCCAATAGCAAACGTCTAAAGCCCCGCTAAACTCAGCTGCTACATGTTAAAAATAAATAGACTGCCGAAAATAACAAGCGGAAGTTCAGGTTATTGGACGCGACGCATATAAAATGCCAAAGTTTATGCCTGACACGAACAGAAGCCCTCGAATACACACACACAGCCAGGCACACACACGTATACGTGTTGGCAGTTCCAAGCCCGAGTATAAACAGAGTTATGGTCACGCTAAACATATATTTAAAAAGCAAGAATACATAGTCTAAAAAGGGACTATAGACATACCTCATGCACATACCCTGTAAATGGGTAATAAATAAAAGTAAATAAATTAAATTTGTTGCTTAACAATTGCCATTGAAACACAAACAAAATTATATTAGACTAAGCGCCATTAAGCCTGAAATGTAGTTGTGAGAATCGCATAGTAAGGCATCAAATTTGATTTCCTCTTCTACATACGTGGACTAGCGAAATACCATTTAATAAGAAATCTGTATAAAAACAGTTTTAAATTTGCTCGAAACAGCTTAATGGCTTCTACTTGAGCCTGAGAACCCATTCCTGGACGCATGCAAACACTGGGCAAACTATTTTCGAAGCAGAAGTCAAAGTATTTATGGCAACACTTCGCCAAAGTCGGCAAGTTTTGCTGAACCGGGCTGGCATGCAGCAGCTAAACTGAGCAGCGAATCGTGGCATTAACTGTGCCCAAAAATCCGAATAGTTTCGGTTTCGAGTTTCTGGCCAAAAACTTCAGCCATAAAATTTGATGGCGATTGAAAAACAAAAAAAGCAAAGGATAACAGACTAGTGCAGCGCTCATAGGACCACAAGCGGATGCCAGCAAATGGGCAAATCCAGAAGCCGAAACTTGCCCGAATGATAACCGTATACGGACGGAACTGAAGCTCGAGAAGTTTTGCATTTGCTTTTGCCTTTGGATGCATTTAGGCGTGCGAAAACTTCTGAAGCGCTGCCAAAAGAACAAATAGCAATAGAAACTTAGCAAAGAGACCGGGTCTTTGTTGAGTTTATCTAAGTTAGCAGCAGGAGCTGTCGCGTCGCTTGTGGCAAACAAATGTTAGATATGAAAATAAATCTGCGCTCTGTCAGTTCAAGCAAATCCGGCAATTTGCGCCCTTTGATTAGATTTTCTCAATGTGAATGTGTGAGTGGGTGTGTGTGTGTGTGTGTGTGTGTGCGCACATATAAAAGACTCTAAAGTCCTGTGCAGCTGTCGAGTCTCATAAACGCAGTCTGTACCAAGCTCCACATAAAGTTGACTACTTGCTGGGACTTCGCCCAGCATCTTGCCCCAGGTCTGCGGGTTACGCCGGGCGAGGGGTCGGGCAGGCTAAAGGGGTTACACGCTTTACGGCTGAGCGCAGCTGCAACTGTCAGGCGCAACAAAAATGTATAAAAATGGAAACAATTCGATTTTTATTGCGCAACGACATTTTTATTGCTGACTACTAGCCAAAATCCATGATAGAGATCGAGAAGGTGTGGCAGATGGGCCCCGGGCACAGAGACTACTAAGTGCTGCCAGATGCCCGACTAGCTCCAACGTCTGCCCACTTAACATAAATCTCGTCTGCCGACTGCTGCTGCTGCTGCTGCTGCTTGCATTAACTGCAAAACCCAAAATCCTAGACAATAATTTGCCTCAACGCACAATCGGATTATGGAAAATAAGAAGACGACAAGGCCAGCAGAGATGGAAGTGCACGGTTAGCAAATACCCTGTAGTTGCATAACAAATAGTTCCATTGAGTTCATATATATATATATAGAAACATACAGCTAAAACTAACTTGTCTTTTGTATACAAAGTTGTATCAGACTCAATTAATGATAACACATTAATCGAATCTGTATCCTTCATATATGGAAAATGCCAACAGATAGATGACACTTGACACCGCAAAGCCTAATCTTGATCATAAGCTCTTTAATATTCCAATTAACATACTCTATTCCCTCACATTTACAGGGTAGCTGAAAACAAACTCTGCCCAATAAGGAAGTCAATTTCGGAAGAAAAAAACGCAATGAAAGATGAACGAGTTAAGAAATGAATATATTATATACACTTATCTCCAGTTATGCTTGGATGCACTTGCCAGATCCCCGAAGCATTTGAATACAAATTTAGATTTGAATTTTTCATGCGTTTTGTCGGGGGACACGTTCGGCAGCGCAAAGGATGGAAATAATCATTCCTATTCAAAGGCATCAAATAGTCGGAAACGCAAATGAAAAATGGGAAAATTGTGAGGAAAACTATTGAATGCGCTCGTTCACTCTGTTATCCAGTTAGACCGGCAGTCAGCGAGTGAGTGAGTGGGTGAGTGAGCTATTAAGCGAACATCCCCCTACCAACCTTTAACCACCCCTCCTCCCTCACTGCCCCCACTCTGTGCAGTCGGCACAGCATTCCAATTTTTGTGGCAGCTCCCATTTGGTTGCCAAGCATGAATCCTGCTTTTATTACTAAATGAGCAGACGCAATTAAGTGGCGTAGGTTGTGTCCGCCCGAAGGGTTGAACGCAAGGGGCTGAGGGCGACGAAGGCTGAGGAATCTAGGCAGGGAGGGGCCTGACTGTGGTGTTACTAGCGGCAGATGACTAACGACAACGAGCCATAATGCTTGGTCGCTCCAATGGGCGCCCAGCAAGTGACTTTTTATGGAAAATGTATGTAAGCTGAAAGCCAGAGGGAGCTTGGGAGTCCAGCTGGGGGGCCTGGGGGGGGGGGGGCTTGATAGAGTACGAACTGGCATATTGGGTCCCTTTGCGGTGACTCAGTTGCTGCGTATGCGAAATATTTGCGGGCAGGGGACTCCATTCACATTTAAATTGCTGTCATAGCACATGATTAATTAATTTGTAATGAACGCTAATGTGAACGCTAGGTGGCGCCACACTCAGGCTCGAAATAGTGCGAACTCAGCCCTAGTTAAAAATTCTAAAAAATTAATTTACACATTTGAGTGAATTTGAAATGCAGAATCAATAAAGAGGATAAGCTTTAATGCGTGTCGTGTCAGTTGTAAGTTTAATATAAGCGAATAGGATTTTTGAAGCATGTGTTTATTGTGATTCAATGCTCAAGAAATTGAATCCATTTTACACATCAAAGACAAAAATATAGATGCATAACCAAGAGGGCATCATTACCCTAAAAAATGACAAATTCATTTAAGTTTTTGAATCGTTTCACAGCCAAGACTTGTAACCAATTAGCACATACTTAACGTAAGCTTAATTATTGTTAGTAATAATTGTAATAATTATTGTTAGTAATCTTAAGGACTTCATATCTTGTATTACATTCTGTATCGAATATCTTGTAGATACTTAGCAAAGCTTTTGCTGCAGCACCCTCTTCACTTATCTATCTAGCAGTATATAGCGCACTCTTCCCCACGCATGCCTAGTTGCCTCATCTGTCGATTAATCGACTCTGACAGCAAATCCTCGCTTATTTGTTTATCTAGGCAGCTGTAACTTGGGATGAGCTGCATTAGGCGCTCTTTCTCCGCCTCTTCCTCTCTGTATCTTTCTCTTCAGAGCGGCATTGAGGCTGGGGCGAAGTTAGAATTGTGTCACTTTACTGTTTGTACAAATTGATGGCGC